AAGTCACTTAATTATTTAATGTTTAATTAAACTTAATATAAAATACTAATGTTGCTCAAATATATTATTTTAAATTTATAAAACATGAGCACTATTGACTATGACACTGCATTAACCATTTACATAGCTTAAATCGCAGAGAAATTTATAGAATTTCCGTTAAATTAAATTCTTGAATTTTCATTTTATTATCACTTTTCATTCTATTCAATTTAACATGACTTGAAAACTTTTTTTTTTTGTGAAACAATGTGTCGAATAATTTTGTTTCCTTTAAAAATAATAAACGCACAACCGCGCTGTATAATAAAAAGAGTATACAAAAAGAGTTGTAATTAAAAATGTGTGAATTTAAAGGCGGTTCTTGTATAGTTTATTATGTGCGGCTCACAACATTTCTAAAACGAAAAAGCCCAGGCTAAATAACACTAAAAGGCAGGAAATTGTGTTCTTGTTTTGCAGCCATAGTCATACATCATACTAGCTACCAAATATGATTTTTAAAATACAAATACACCGCAAAAATATGAAAATAAAAGAATGAAAGATAAAAGCAAAAAAAAATTGTTTAAGCAATGGCGGACATTCATCATTCTCATTTTTATAATCTCAAAAATTTTCCCTCATGAAACAATAAGTTATTTTTGTGTTCTCATCGCTTCACTTGCCCCATTCCCTCATTTTGTTGCTATTTGTTATAAAAAGTTTCTTAATTCTAAAATATTATTTGTTATGATACAATTTATGTTCTGTTTTATATGTTGCGTTAGTAAATTTCATGAAGCGAATAATAATATGGCCATTAAAAAATTAAAATTTTAGTTTCATATCATGAAGAAGAGAAGAGTAGCGGTAAGAGAAAAATTACAATAACAATATTACATTACTACTATCTCTTCTGTTCGTCTTGTCGTGTACTTAATATAAAATTTATACAATAATTAAGTCATTTTCTGAAATTGTAAAAATATATACATATATATATATATATATATATATATATATATATATATATATTTAAGTGGAAGTTTTAAGAGCTCTCTCATTCTTTTATTTGACGCAAACAGGAAAGAAATGTTTAAAATTAAATTGTGGGACATATTTCATAAAAATGTAAATGAGACTATAATTTTATTTGAAAAGAAAAAAATTAATGTAATAGATTGAATATGTTAATTCTATTGTTTTAGAAACAAACTCATAGTTGCTTTGAATTTAGGATATTAAGTGATTTTATCAGAATGCTTTGAACAAATTTCAATCCTTCCCCCTATTGATATATCTTACAAAAAATTCCAAATTTACAACAGCACCAAATTACTTTTGCCAAAATTAAAACACAAATACAACAAAATAAAAATTTTCAACAGCCCTCTCGAATATTTTCATATTCCTTCATTCACACTTTTATTTCAAATAAAACTAATTTCCCTTGAGGTCTGCCTCTTTTCCATAAAACTTTTGTATTCGCTCCTTTTTTAATTCACTATTTTATTTTTTTTGTTATTCAAACTGCTTCTGTTGCCATAGCAAACTTAACAAAACAGCAAATTTTTCCACTTTTTTTTCGTTAAATTTAATTATAAAAGTAGAGGAATTTATTGTTCTCATGGGTGTTTTGAGGCCTTAAATGAATTGAGAAGAAAACGAATGAATTAAGAGTAAATGAAAGTAAAGCCAGACACAAAAAGCTGGCATTGAATTCTATTGATACAATTCACGTAAAAATACAGATTAATTGGATTAAAAAAAATTCATCCAGACACTAGACAGACAGACTCTTATGAATAATTAATTTCGTGAATTAAGTGAGATAGATTGGATAAAAGAACGATTCATTCATACTTTTATTAGCTTTGCAATATGAAAGTGCAAAATAAAATGAATTTTTCATTATCTTATATGAATAATTTCTCAGGAAATTATAATGAAATGGATGATGCTTTTGCTGTGGGTGAAAATTATTAAAAGTTTATTCATATTTTCTTCTCCTTTTATTTTCTAATTAAAAGTTTCGAGTATCATGCACTTTTTTCTCGTGAGTTTGTAATGAAGAAAACATTAGTTGCTGAAATCGGTTTCATATTAAAAATGCATTATTGTTTTCTGTAGCGATTGTTCTATTGGCTCTCTAAGAATGCTTCATGAAGTTCCTTACAATTCAAATTTTCCTGGATTTTCCAAATCATTTCTTGATGACGGGAGGGAATGGGGAGGGGAGTTATAAGGTGGTTTATATGCAAAACAAAACCAAAATAATAAGATTTTAGCAAAAAAAAGTAGCTTTATTTAATAATGTAAACAAGAATCTTTATTAAATTCATCACTTTCTTTTACTCAGTCGCTCATAAATTTATTTGTTTTGTTTATCCAAGCAAGATAAATGAAATAACATTTCATACCTTTCCGCATACCCCTTTGCTTATTTCCTTTGTATTCCATCTATTTGATTCTTGTTTTCATTGTTGATAAAGATTTCATTTCATTTTAAAGCGCATAAAAATTTTAGCAAGTTTTTATAGATATATGTATGAAATTTGTATCTCATCTTGACTTAAATTAGTTTACAATTGTTATTACCAATTTTATCTTTAATATAATGTATTTTAAGCTTTAGTGAGATTTAAAGTATGTTTAAAAAAAATTATCTCAATTAACAATTGAATTTATTTGAAGTAGAATATAATACACCGACATCTTACTTACATTGTGCTTGCCTTTATTTTTGCTTTATTGCAATAAATTTATAAAACCTATAAAATATTTTCTTGTCTTTACAGGAGATATTGAGACTCAAGGAATAAAAATGAAAAAATAATATAATAAAATAAAACAAAAGAATAAATATGCATGTAGAAGTGAGTTTTCTTGTACAATAAAAAGGAATTTTTTTCCTTATATACATCCAATTTTTCCATTGTGAAGAGACCCCGGTTAAAGAGCAAAGATAACAAATTTGTGAGGATTATTCATGATACTTTTTCATGCTATATCATGGTATACAGCATAGTAGAGGTGAATTGGAGTTAGCTGAGCCACACAAAAAAGGAAATAATTTCCATAAAAACACAACAATGGAAATGCAAAAAAGATTTCTTTGTGGAACTTAATATAAAGTAAAATAAAGAGGAAGGAAGACGAAAAAGAGAAAATTTCTGAAGCACAACTCCTTATCTACCTTACTTTTGCTCTTTTCCTATTCTGCCCATTCCAACATAACTCATTGTTGCTTTGTCATGAAGTCTATTTTTCGTTACCTCGGCCATCTCTGCTTCTCATTTTACCGCTTTTTATTGCTTTGTTCGCTTATTAATGGCAACCTTCTTGTAAAGTTTGAATTACTGTTATTGCCCATTGTCGGATCTGATGAGAATTTTGAAATTTTAACGGGCGTTTTAGTCAATTTTTGATCAAAAATTACTGCATTAAGATTAAAAACTGAAAATTATACAGCTTCATTTAGTCCTTTACGTACAAATTTTTATTATTATTTTAAACATAAAAAATAATTATATTTACATAAAACTCCAGCTTTGATTTTAAAATTCTATAAATTTTTTTTAATACTCCAACCAAATGAGTTTCGGTAGCAAGAAATTTCTGGATTAAATGAAACAAGAAATATGCATCTTGATGGTGATCACTTATCTAAACAGTGCAATCAATTTTCCAGTTCCATTAAAGTGCACAAGAAGCTATCTAATTCAAATAATAAATTAATTGCCATTCACTCGATGTATTAGGCCTATAAATAAAAGACGTAAAGCATTTTGAATCATGATTAGATACTCAAATTCGATAGATGTATTGAAAATGAGATAACTTTGGGCTTCAAATTATCGAATCATTTCCTGTTCACTTGAAATTGTTCGTTCTTGTGTGCAATTAGAGGCTCATCATCATCATCATATTAAATTGTATGTACACTATAACTCCAATATATAACACGGTAGTTGTACAGAAGAGGAAGGAAAAAAAAACTAGTGAAACGATGAATGAATAATTGATTGAATGAAGAAGCGAGAAAGCGAAATGGAGAGATATAAATAGCAGAGATTTGAGACTCATTATCAGAAAGGGAATCAATAATATAATTTTCATCTATTGCTCACGAATAATGAGAGAACAAAAATGAATAAAATGAATTGAGTATCGAGTCAATTTTGTGTATGCTTGGTTCCCTTATAAAGACAGAAAAAGCTTTTTAAAGCCGATAATTGCCTCCTCTTAACTTTCTTGCTTCCTAACTTATTAGGGAATTGAGTCGCTCATACAAATACGGAAATTCTAATTGCCTTTCAAATTCTCATTTAGCTTTATCCTCTTTTTCTTCTTCTTCTCACCGTTTTGGTGCTTTTTCCTCTTGTTTTTTCATTCACTTATACAGTGTATGTGACTTTGCATAATTTGCTATCTTTTAATACTATTATTGCTACTTTTATTCCTCATTTCGCTGTCTCTTTAGCTTTTTTCTTGTCTAGTAAAAAATTTTTGTTACTATAGCATTAAATGAGCAAATAAGTATGTGGTATTACCTTTTATGAGGTGAGCGTAGAGAGTAATTTACTAAACTAAATTATTTGCAAGTACTTCTGTTCATTTTTCGCTCCCAGTTTCGTTGCTTTGCTTTTTCATGGGAATTAAAGCTATTCTATAAGTAAGAAAAAAACTATTTGCTGATTCTGCAAGATGAGATGAAAAATGAAAATCTGTGAAATTTTTTTTTCCTTCCGATAAGAAGAAGGAATCAGCCGAGGTAGAGGATGTAAATGAAGAAAATTATAGGGGAGAAAGAGTTTTTGAATAGAATTTAATTTTTACTGCAACTTAAAATTCAAGAAAGGTTTGTTTAAGAATATACAAAAGTATTATAAAGATTTTAAAGGGTGAAAAGTGTTGTTAGATTTTTCAGAACCTGGAAAATAATTTTATCAATAGATAATAAAAGACATATTCTACATTTTGATGGAACAATTTATTTTTTTCTTTGTATTTTTTAATCTTTTCATTTTTTATCATCTTTTTTCAAAAATTTTGTCGCCAAAAGCTTTTTTTTTGTAAGTAAGGAAATTGTTTAAGAATTTGAATGGATTTTCACTGTTTTCAAATGTATATCATTAAAAAAAATTAAAGAAAAACTATCGATCGGTAGTTAAATAAGGAAGGAAAAAAAGAGAAAATAATGAAAAGAAAATAAAAAAATCTGCCTGACATGGCACTCAGTCTTTTTGATTAGTTTAACAAAAACTACAAATTCACTTTTAAAAATCTCAATTATAATTAATTAATGTTGCCATTTTAATCCCCACTTTACAGCCTTTTCTCAAGAAGTTTTTTCTTTCTTCTTGTTGTTTACTTATTCAAAATTATTTAATAATTATTTGGCAATATCACAATTATATATTTTTGGGAGAATAATTATTATTATTATTACTCAACTAAATGAATTAATTAGTCTAGGATTAATTTTTTTTACAATTTTGAAAATGGAAACGAAATATTAAATTTACGTTCTTACTCGTCTAAACCAGCTCCATAAATTTTTTGTTGAACTTATCGTATTCTGATTGATATGATGTGGACTCCTTAAACTATTAAAACTTCTTGTTGTGGCAAAATGCTGCGTCTCATTACTGCCATTTTGATGATGATGATAATTGTTTGATGCTAGGCATTGTGAATTATAAACTGACGGGAGTACTGGCTCGTATTGAGCCGTATTTCCCCAACAATGCATTGCACGTGGATTTGTTAAAAATTGACAGTTACTGTCGCTAATATTCACACGGTTACTACTCACACCATTAATATTCATTGTCATATTATGTGATGGTGCATAATAATTAGCGTTTGCCCTCGTTGTTGTTGCGGGATGTTGATGATGTTGTTGATGTTGTCGACCAAAACGCATATTATTACGATCTCGGAATATTGTAGCCACACTAAATGCTGTATTAGACATTTGAACATTTATGTGGTTACGTCGCTCAACCTCATTCTCATTTACACCCGACGCTACTGCTACAGTCATATTTCTATTGCACAGACTATTCGTTGTGTTAGTATTGGATGATGATGTCGCTATTTCATTATTGTTTGCAATTTCATCTGTCACGGATGCAGTATCTGCAGATGAATTTAAATTATCCGACATTCTGTCAGCTGGTACTGTATGTGGTATAGTTCTATGACTATCATTGTGACTCATATCTGATTGTGAATCGGGTTGGTCTAATTCTTCATACAGATTATCATTTGACTCATATGGATCTGGCCCTGGCGATGAGCATATGAAAACAGGCGGTGTTTGTGGCATAGGAAAGCCACTTGGATAATGAACAGTCTTTGGTTGCAACATCTGTATAGGATGGAGAGAGGAGGATTTTAATTTTGCGGGAATGTCATAAAATTTCATTTTTTAAGTAGAGAAATAATCTATTTTCTTAGCGGAAATTGATTGTAACGCTTTCAATTTATATTATCTAACTTAGAATTTAAAAACTTACGTTAAAATGTTGCTGCTGTCTTTCAAGTGTCTTATATCGAATCATAAAAGCGTCGGGATTTTCATAACCATTGAAAACTATTGATGGATCCATTGGACTTCCAGTCGAACTTGATGCTTTATATGGTACCGAATCTTTTGATTTTCTTTTATGTCTGTCAATAAAAAAAAATTAAACAAAATTTAGAATGTTTTCATATAATGATTCAAATTCATTTTAATACTCACTTCCAAATAAATATTGATGACACGAAAATAAATATTAAAATTAAAACTGAACACAACAATATCATGGCTGATGCTTGCATTGATGAATTATTGTAATCGAAGTCTACATACTGAAAATAAATGAAAAAAATTGTTTATTAAAATACAAGTTATTGCTAATATAATAAGTTTCAAACAATTATTGCTTTGCAAACTTTGCAGGATGCATAGATTTAATGATAAAATATGCAAACAAGTTAAGTTCTTTCTGATAATGGATTATGAATTCATCAAGTTTTTACAAAATATATACTAGCTATAAGGTACAATATGACGTAGAAAATTAATGTACTACAAATAGGAAGCATCATCGTTCCGCACTTAAAAACCATGAAAACTTATTGGAGTGTTGAAAATTATATAGAACGACACGCATCAGATGGTTTTGAACAAATTTTTGATTGAGTAAAGAATTTTTGAGCCTTCAATTTTTAAATTTTCGAATAGGATTTATGTTGACTAATGTTGAAGATGCAAAAAAAAATAGTTTTATGTGGACTTTTAAAAAAAAATATTGATAAACAAGATTTTTAAAATTACATTCCAACGAGAATAAAAAGGGAAAATATTTTGTTATTAATTTCATTAGCATTTAATTAAATTCCTTAGTTTGGAATTTGTCGGACATACTATAAAGAAGAATTCTTTTGAATGGAACATTAATTTGATAAAACGAAAAGAAATCAAGGATGATGGGTAAACAAGCAAAATGAAAAGGTAGAAAAATGTGAAAAGTTTACTTTAGAAATCAAATCTTTTCAAGAAAGAAAAACATTTTTATTATTTCTATGAGTGAATGGTTTGATGAAAATCTTTTTTACTTTTTGCTCTCATGTATTTTCAAGAAGTATGAAGGAGCAAGTAAACACTTGAAAGAATCGAAAAGATTTTTTTTAACATCCTACATAAAAGTGAGAAAAATAGGAATTTTTTCGGATATCAAAAAGAAGAAGAAAAAGCTCTTCTTGTCAATATCACATGTTTACATTTGCGTAAACAACGACTTAAAGTCTTTAACAGCCAACCATTCGACATTATACACGAATACTATAGCTATACATATCGTCTCTTCTGCGTGTGAAGCAATTTTTATGATAACATCAAGAATAAATATTGTAATGTAAGCTTCTTTCTTCCTTTTAGCATCTCTCAGCCTCCCCCATACTCCAAGCTTATTCGGATACATATATTATATATGTACGTATATTCTTACTTATGTAAGATGGAGAAAATACATTGATTGCTACAATAAAAGTGCTTAGGATGATGATGAAAGTGGATGAGCATAAAAATTATTATGATTTTCCTCTTTTATTCTCTTTTTTGTATGTTTTTTGTGTGTCGGTCTTCTCGACAGCATATTGAGATGCTGGATATTATGCTCTTGTGAGCATGCGAGTATTATTTTCATACTCTTGAATAGGAATAAAATCTTGTTGAAAATATGCTCATAGAGAGAATTTTAACTCTCAAATATGTTAAGCAAGAAAGAATCAAATTTTCGTATCTATTTTTGCCTTTTTCATCAGAAATTTCAGCAACATCAGCAGCAGTAGATATATTGTGATATTATTAAAATAAAAAATATATAACTTACCGGAATTAAACTACACATTTCATAATCACTAGATGATGCTTCAGAACACTTCGGAAGCTCTTTTAAAAAAGGCGGAAGTGGTGGAGGAGGTAAATTAAATTCTGGCGGCGAAGAAAATCCACATTCCATGTCACATTCCATCTTGAAATCCATGTCGAATTTCTTCCACATCACACAAATTTATTTATTTTTCAGAATTTTATTCTTTCTTTTTTTGCCTCCTCTCTTGTATGATTTTAGGCAAAAAATTTCAGGCCTTGTCCAAAATAAATCTCTTCTTTCTTCTTTTTATAGTCTTTTGTCACTTTAATTTTGAATCTTTGTAGTTCTGTAAAAAGGGAATTTTTGAAAAGAACAGAAACACAATTAGTTGAAGAATTGAAACGAAAAAATGTCACATAAAATAAAATTTTATATATTCGTCTTTTGGCACAAATTGAAATTCTCCGTAAAACTTTTTTTTTTCATTTAGTTTACTTATAGTCTTTCTGTTTTTGTTTTTTGAAAAATTTACTCAACAATTTTAATTATGAATATGGAAAAAGTCATAATTTTTTATGTAAATAAATCATCGGGACACAAGTTTAATAAATGATTCACATATTTTTGTGAAAATTAATGGGCAGGTTTTTTATGTACAGATGCAAACATTAATTTAGACTTTACGGTCCAAAATAAAACCACATTAACATCATCAATTATTCAAAAAAGTTCTTTTTTACAAATTTAATTTATTTTGGAGGCAAAATGTCGACCAAATTAGAAATTAAAAACTTAATTGAAATTACAACAATTCAATAAAAATTATTAAAATGATTTTAAAATCATAAATTTTAATTTTTTTTAAAAATTCACATTTGAAACTTATCAAAAATTTAGAAATTTATACTTTAAGTTCACAGTTTTCATTATTTTATAGTTCTTTGAAAATTTAACTGATTTGTCATATGATCACACGGATTTTTAATAAACTGTCACTGACACACAAATTATTTTATTTTTCCAGCTGCGAATTTTCAAATCGTCACTAAAATTTTTTGTTTCAAATAATAATGTTTTTGCTAATTTTTAATGGTCAGCAATTCAATTATTTCACAATCATTTGCTTAACTGTTTTTTTAATATTTTTTCACCATGTGATATTTTTTTTTATTTAATTTTTCACTTCAATAAATGCTCAAATGTCTTGTTACCATTCTTTATTTTTTTTTTATTTTCTCCTATCTTTCTCTTTTGATCTAATCAAAAAGTCCCAACAATACAGCAACAAAGAAAAACAACATAGTATATGCCTCTTGTATCTAATTTATGAGACTATCCCGAAGGTAGAAAAGAAATTTTTCTAAGAAATGTGATTTTTGAACCTTTAAGTTAATTATTTCGTTTTTGGAGCCAGTAATAGAAACGACTTCATCCAATTAAATTCATAAACGTAGAAATTTTTTGTTGTCTTAGAAACAATTCGTTTAGCATTTAGAAATTTTTGTGTTGCTTGGAAATTTCTTACTTTATAAATTTCGCAATAAATTCTTTTAATATGAATATTTTACAGATCTCTTATTATAAACCTCTTGGTCCCAATTTTGATAATGAACATTTCAGCAAAAAAGTTAAATACCGTAATATTAAATGTGCTTATCGGTTCTCTCGAGATTATTAAATAATTTATAGAAAATGACTTTTGCGCGATATTTATATTTTTCAAACTAAAAGTCTATACTTGGTTATTTTCTCTGACAAATGTATTTTGTAAGGAACGGAAAAAAAGACGTAGCATTTTTGATTTAATTAAAAGCACTACAGACTAATGAAATGTAAAAATTTCTTCTTAGCATCGCCGGAAATTGCATTGAATTTGTTCTTCTTTATAAATGGATTGTCTTTATTTTATGGAGAATTCCGTTTTGTTTTCATTTTCTATGATTATTGTTTTCATATTTTTTGCCATCTTTTTTTATAACAAAACCACTTACATTCATTTTTATGATGATTTTTTTAGTATTCTGTGTATAAATTTCACTCTAAAAGTTATCCAAAATCGATTTTCTCTTTTTTTTCTTTCTTTCTCTGCTCAAATAAATTTTATTTTATCTCTGCCTAGATTTTTTTCTCTGCTTTTTCAGACAAATTTTTTCTTATTTATTTATTTTCTCACTTTTGCAGTCGTTTTTTCAAATCAATTTTTTATTCTATAAGTGTAAGACGTTTTGAAATAATTTTTTAATGAATTTACAAAATCTTCTTTAATTTCACTAAGCATTTTTTGCTACTATTCATTCAATAATCCACGTTATGAGGTCACCGAAAATTGAATATTACGTCTGTTCGCTTTGAAGTCTTAGAGTAATCTAAAATTTGTATGCTCACATCCCGGCGGAATGAAAAAAATTGTAAATGAGCGACGATTTGAGCGAAGTGAGCATAAATTTTTTTCAACATATGAGCATGAAGAAATTTTTTATGTTGAGAGTCAAAAGGTCATTAGGTGAGAGATGAGAGAGAATTTTCGATTCCTCTCAACTTGTTTTTGTACAACTCATAAACGCATTTCCTAGCACAGCATGAAATAACCATAGTCGAGCAAGATAATTCTATGCATATATCATGTGGTATTAATTTGTAAATCTTTGAAAATATATTGAATTAAATTATGAGAAATCTGATTTCAGAAAGATTTTCTGTTTTCCCATCATCGGATTTAATTTTTATATTTTTATTTTTTCGTGTCTTAAATATATGCATGTTATTTGGGAATTTGTTGTTGCTTAATTAAAATTGGAAATTTATTTTCTGAGAAATGGGTTTGTTTGGCTGCTTTATGAGTTTTACATTAAATGTGAAAAAGATTTTATAGTTGACAAAAAACATATTTTTTTTTTATTAAAATATTTTATAGAATGCTTACAAATTTCCTGTTCTTCACCAAAGATTAAGATTAAAATTTAAGGATTTGAGTTTTTAAAAGTGTTACACTGTCTAAATTTCTTTTGTTGATTATTCATTTAATATCACAAATTCAATTAGTATCAGTGTCTACTTTCAAAAATATTTAAATTTCAAAACTAATTCATTACTGATAAAAACTTTCCATATGTCAAAATTCATTACTCAAATCGTCTTATGTTCTTTTAAGAAAAAAAAAATAAATGTCTTTCGATAGATAAGACTTAACAGCTCTACCAAAATTAATTATCGAAAGAGTAGAATTTCATAGTCATATCATATACCAGATAATATTCAAATATATTTATAATTAATAGGACATTGATCTGCTCATTCTAGTGATATTCTCTCTGTGATAATAGCCTGCTGTTTCAAATGTTTGATTCTTCACATAAAAGTGAAACAAAAACGTATATTATTTAATGACTTCATTTTCTGATTTTACGTTGAAATGAGAATTCGGGAGGTAAAAAATATGAGAGAAATCATTTCACATTGTGGACAATTATTCTCTGAGAAAATTTTGGAGGAGAGAATTTTTAAAGTAAGAGTAAAGAAACGACAGTAGAAGAAAAATAATGAGAGTGATGATAAAAAATGATGATGGTTTTTGAGAGTTTCAACTTTTGTTGGGTTTACACGTTTACTATTTTGTTGTGTTCTGACGATATTTAATTTTTTTCGTGCTATTTCCAAAATAGGAAAAAAAAATTTAAATATAATTTAATATGTTTTAACAAAGGATCTGATTAACACTTCACATTAGAGTAAAAATATATCATCAATATTAAAAATAAAGTTCTAGGTTTAAGGTTTAAGGTTTAATTTATTTTCTGTTATAAGTTTATTTTTTTTTAATTTCTTAAAACTTAGCAATTGAAGATTATTAAGGTTATCTAAATTTTCTCTTCATTTGAATACAATATTTTTTGTAAAGCCGTCCATTATCCTTTGAATTCAATATCAATTCATTTCTAATTTATACATGACCCAAGAACATAATAGTTTAAAACAGGAAATTTCGGTTCAATAGAAAACTGAATTCAATAAGCAGTTTTCGTTTGAAAAAATCCAGTAAAGAAAGAAAAAAGAGATTCATTTGAAAAGAAAACAGCAGCAGCAAAATTCAAAAAAAAAATAAAGGATCAAGTTCTTTTCTGTTGCTGCAATGCGCTATGCCATAATGAGTTTTGTGTATTTGTAAATATAACAAAATCTCATGATATCTTACTATGGATATCGTATGGTGCTTCTGCTTCACTTAAAAAATCAACAACATATGTTACCACTTAATGAATCATTCCTTTCTCTTCAAACTGCCTGCTCCTGCTTCTGCCTTTTTTTACATATATTAGATTTTAATGATCTTATTATTATATTTTTTTTTAAAAAAAAATTTTACTGTGCAAAGCTTCTGCTTTTAATTTTTTCTAAACAAAAAAACTTTAAATTGATGATGAACTGCAGAAAATTCGAGACCCAAGAAAAAATAGATTGAGATATATTCAAAGCTCATTTATTTCATCATGTGTTAATTTAGTGATTTGTTCTTCTTTATTTTTTTAACCAAAACAGAAATAATCTCATCTGTGCTTCTTCACTCATTATAGCCTGACTGATTGTGTGTGGATGTTCGCTCGTTAGGTGAGTTTCTTTTCTGTTTGACATGCATCATTGGATAAAGATGAAAATATAAATACATAGAAAAAAACGAAAGGTTGATCATTATAAAGGCTCAAAGTAGAAACAAAGTAAAACAAAGTTAAGAAATCACATCAAAAAGTATGTAACGCATTTGAAGTGGTTTCTATTTTTTGCTTGTTAAATTTATTAAATTTGATTTGAAACTTATAATTCCAACTCTAATGGAACTTTTTTAATGAAATTGTTAAAATGCATTTCATTCTTATATATTTTTGTATAATTAAATTTAATTTTATAAAAAGCAGACAAAATGTAAAGGTTTAAAGAACTATAGCCGCAACAAGCTCAGGACAGTTCTAAAATAAATCAAAATATTTTTTATCATGTGGATTCGTTTATCGTTTATATTTATTATTTTGTTTCAACAAAAAACGATAAACCAAACAGAAAAGTTTTCAAAAAAACACTTAGAAGTGAAAATTAGAGGAGACTTAAAAGAAGAGATCCCGAAAGCCACAAGTGGATGTGTTTATTATTCATTAGTGATGTTCAAATTACTCTCGAAAATTGAGTTTAGAAATATTTAGACATATTTCATTCATTTTCGTTGCTTCATCTGAAAGTGCATTCATAATGAGAAAAAGAAGATTATGACGATAATTGTTGTAACTTATAAGCTTGCATACACAACAAACATTATCCTTTCATTTTCATATTTATTTAAATGTAATTTTTTCCGTCTCCTTTTTCAACTCTTCTTTTTATTCATATTTAATGTTTATTTATGAAAAAGATCGTGCAGGTTCTAATTTCAGTATACATAGAATGTATACATATATATATATATTAATAATAAAAAATAAATATTTTAAAGGTACATAAAAATGTATTAAAAAATATGAATGATGTATCATTTTGACTTTCAAGAAAACGAAAAAAAAAATATGATTCTTTTTGTATGATAAAGAGGAAAAAAGAAGAGGAAAAAAATTACATGAAATTTGAAAAATGTCAGTGCTCATAACGCATGATAAATGGAAAAAATATGACGATGACCTTTCGGCTGTATATATTATATGCTTATATGTGATTCTCATGACATGGGCATCATCTTCTTTTTTGCCTTACTTCACCCACATATTATCTATTCTTTTTCTTCAGTATGAACGTATAATATTTGTTCAAGTTCTAGTTAGACACATAAGCATGAATTGAATAAGATCCTCAAAAAATATAAAAAACTGGAGATAAAAAGACTAAGATTCATGACACATACACGTTCTTCCAAACAGAGGTAAAATTCACATGTATACGCACATTTGTGTCTATCAGAAGAATTGTGACTCTACAGAAAATAATAGGAAAAAAATATGATATTATTTTATTATAAATGTAAAGGATCCTTTTTGCAGGTCTTTCTTTCAAATATAATATATGATACATTTTGATATTTGAAAGATGAATAATAACTTTGTATCATGGACGGTATCTTTTGTCAATTTTTCATACTCTCTTTATTCTTCATTTTGTAAGAGAAGCATGCATGAAAAATAAACTTTGGTTTAGAATTAATAAGTATTTATAATATAAGAAAAGTGATATTTTATTGTAATTTAATTTCAATCGTGATTTTGCGTTCACATGAGAGTATTATCCAATTGGATCTAGCAAAATGAAGCGAAAATAACAATAAAAAAACGCAACTGAGTTAAGAATGACCATTTACAAGTTTGCGAAATTAATTAAAATAAAAGAATTTAAAAATTTTATTAATGCCAGAAAAAGTTTGATTTTCAATTTAATCTGCACGAAAATGAAATAAATTATTTTTACATATTAAAATTGTTAACTTGGAACAAATTTTGTAAGCAAAAAGTTGTTTAAACGAAAAATTTTAGAGTTGAATTAAATGTTTCAAATAAAATGCTTTCTTACGATAATCACAAAATCTACAAGTCAACACATTATTTCCCATTCAATGTTATTGCCTTTAAAGGGCTTAGAAATTAATTTTTATTGTTATTAATCTTTTATTGATTTTTTGCGTTAGCTTTAATCATTTATTACTTCATCATAATAAAAGTATATTTTAGAGGGATAGTAAATATAATGTAAAATAAAACTATTGAGGGGTTTCAGTATTTTATAATTTTCGTCGTTTCCTTTTAACACACCGAAAAAAATTCAAAAATTATTGTCGAAAGTTAATAAAAAATTATTTGTTTTTGCTTTTTGTTCTGTTAATGTACCAGAAGCACGAACATAAGCTGAAAATTGTCAGCTAGAAAGTAAAAAGGGGAAGCATATTTTGTGTTATCTAATTTATGTGCAACTTTGTCCTAAAACCTATTTCCATGGATGATACATGTGCACAATTAATAATAATCATATCTGGTAACTGTTTTTTGTGTTTGAAAGTCAAAAATAAATGAAAGAAAAACCAGAAGGCTATTACAAAAAATTATTATTGAGAGTATATAGCTCATACTGTCACAGTAGCGTGTGCTTGTCTCTTTTTCTGTCGAACTGCACGCAATGAATAATCACATGAAAAATTGCTTATAAATGAATCACAATTGTTTCTTATCATGTGCCTTCCTCATATTATATTTTCTAATTATGAACAGCATGCTGCTTGTTATGAGTTGTTTCGCATGTTGTCTCACATTTGTCAATTTCTCATAATTTAAACCACTATTCATCCATCATGCATAGCAAGATGCATAGCATTCAGCTAAT